GGGGGGCGACAGAGAGGGAGAAAAAAGAGAGAGAAGCAAAAGAGAGAAGCAAAAGAAAAAGCAAAACAAAAAGAGAGAAAAGATAGAGAGAAGGAAGACAGAGAGAGGAGAGAAAGAGAAAAAAAGGGAGAGAGAAGGAAAAGAAAAAGAGAGCAAGAGAGAGACAAGATCATGTGCCTAGTGCTACAAACGTTGGAGTACTCACGCGTAGCCAAATTGCTTGGTAAGTTCCAGGTCACCGCATGGTGTTCCCGACTTCTGGACCTGACGATATAATGAACGGCAAGGCCAATTGTTACTCTCTTCATTAGAGTCAAGGAGGTTGTAGAACAACATGCTACAACCTTCGCCAAATGAGGATGTATCAACCCAGACTTCGTACTTGCCATTATCCGTCGTGGGCCAGTCAGGAAGATCGATGCTGGTGGATTGGCAGCCAGTATACTCGCTACCCTTGCCATCACTGCTTGTGGCCCAGCTCAATTCCAAGTTGTAGGCCTCAAGATTGTTGGCGTCGGGCGGGCATTGGTTAACGCTGTAAATATCAGCCTCCCCAGTGCTCTGGGCTTGAGCTCCTGCAGCCAAGGCGGCGATGGCTAAGAGAGCGCTTCTGGGAGCCATTGTGAAGACGAGGTAATGATACGAAGTGAATTCTGATGAACGTGATAATATAGTAGTTGTGTAGATAATCAATCGAGAAGTTGAATAATCTAATGATGCTGTAGGAAATCAGAACTCTTCGAAATATTGGGAAGGCGCGCTGCTTTATACTAATTGTCTTCGTTCCCAAACTTCATGAACCCACTCTTCAATATCTTAATTTGGCAAAACTATAAAACAATAATGATTTGATTAGAGGTGATGAAGATGTAGTGAAGTTTTTCTCATTTGACGTCATTATCCCTGCAATGTCTATTTGTAGATGACAAACATTGAGAATTACTTCATTGGAATATCTCACGCTTGAAGAACAATCTGTGGATTATACGATGTGTAGATCATTGAAAGACAACTTAATGTTTGCATGAATACTTATTTGTCTATTTTTGAAGGGCATGATATCGATCTTCAGGACAGTGATCAGCGTGAGGCTGGTTTGAATCCCTTCAGTGGGCAATTGGAGATGCCGAGACTCTTGGCACATGCGCTTGCCCAAAATTTAGCTAGCGATCGTCGTTGACGATTTTATAAAAAGGAATCTGCAGCAAGTGGTCCTTGTGGCCCCAATGAGGATTGCAGAAATCGGTGCCGACGAGGATTCACCAAGTGACGATTTTCAATTCTTGGCCGACTTGGATCAGAATCCAGCTCAGATCTATAACCTATAATTACATAATCAGATGTTTCGTATATTTTATGGGGACTCGCACGTACCACGCAAATGACGGCAAGTCTATAATCCCATAAATCCCATGAATCCTTATTATGGGGCAGACGCCATCACAGCAAATCACAGATCAGCTGCCTGACAGATTATTCAGCCTTGGAGATGTTGATATATTTATTATATATGTTGCAATATAAAGTTCAGAAATGTATAAATAAGGTCAAACAAGATCATCTTTGTTCTCACTCAAATCATCTGTTCAAAAACATTCCAAGCAATCTGTGCACTCAGAAACCCAATTCAATATCAAATTTCCCCAACATACTCTCACCATTCAGAACATTAGCGCAAAACCCTTGAAGCAATCTAGCCAACAGCAACATATCAACACAAGAAGCCAGACTTGATCCCCATTTACATCCACACAAGTTAAAATGCACGCCTCTCGCACTTTCACTTCGATCGCATTGGCGCTTTTCGGCGCTCAAGCCGCCAACGCTTGGCTGCTCGAGTTCTGGGGCACCCAATCCAACTGCGCCAAGCAGGGCAACAGCGCCGCGGACAACTCGGCTGGTGGTCTCTCGGGAGATAGCAACAGCTGCATGATGGCGTACTACGACCTCAAGGCCATGAAGGTGACGGAATGGGACGATAAGTGCACGGTCAAGGTGTACGCCGGAGACTCACTCGACTGCAGAGGCGAGGTCATCTACGAGAAGACCAAGGAGGAAGCCAAGGACGACGGCGAACTGGCGGACTCGGAGGACGGTGCATACATGTGCCTGACCGGCCTTGCCGGACACCCGGGACCGTATTATGCTTCTTACGAGTGCTAAGCGGCTGTATAATATTTGAACCTAAGGACAAGACTCGGTATACAATGATGGGTTTGAGTGGCTTGTATTAATAAGGTTCGAGAGAAAGATGTATTTGGGCCGATCTAAGCAGAGGTTTATAAAACATGATTCATTTATTATGTCTTGCACATCTTTTACAATCATGACCGTAGCTTTGAGCAACCAGCGCCACACAAAATGGCTGCCATGAAATTCCTTATAGCATTGCAAATTGGAAAGATGCCTAGTTCAAGAGGAGTTCAGGTCCACTAGTTGCTTGCATTAGCTAGCATCTGATAGTAACCACCTACCTAGACATCTACTACTATGGTGGGGTCTTGATCAGTGGACCCATTAGCCTCTTGAGATCAAAACGGCCATCATCAGTTGTGTTTTCGCGTTTTGAATTAGTTCGTCATGCTTCCTTCGATTATTTTGATCGGACATCTCAACCGGTAATCAATACATGAAAATTTGGACTCAAATGCATATGCACTTGATGCAGTCCTGAAGCGATTGGGCTCATGCAATTGCCTAGAGGCGTTGTGTATTTGGTTGACCATGCACACGCTGCCCACCCTAGATCACTACGGTAAAACTACACGCTTTTCATCTCCATTTTCATTTAAAACGACGAAGCTGTCTAAAGAAATTATCGAACAACAGATTATAGTCATTATAATTCATAATTCATAAGGATAATAATAAAAAGATAACAAAAAACATACAACACCCGGGATCCCCAATGGTCACCCACCTGAGTACTAATGCGGCAGGCCATGGCTATAATACCCTGATCTGGCATATTTGGTTAAAACCTATGGCACGTGCAACATTGTTCAGGAGGGCTGACGGTGATGGAGAGGCTGATTATGACAGCCCACCATGTCCCAACTCGCGTGCGCCCAAAGTCAGCTTTGTTGACAATGCAGTCGACTGGGTCATACCTGGCTTGAGCGAATCAGAGCAGCACAAGGTCGAGGATGGTATGCCCGAAATTCGCGTGGTGGCAGATGTAGCAATCATGAAGAAGTAATTGAGTGGCTCGAAAACATTACTCGCACCTCAAGACATCATCAGTCTCTGCACTAAGCCGGTAACGCGGTTTGCCGTTGACGACTAATCTACACTATTATGCTAATTTGCCATTCCTCGAGTCTACTACGGGCGAGGCGATGGGGATCCATGCCTCCACTACCGGTCTCCAGAGTGGGAAGGGCAGGAGTGATCCAGTGCCCACCCGAACCTTGAGTATGATGTCTCCAACAAATGGTAGAGTCCACAAGATGAACAAGAACACCCAAGTGCGCCCCAACCACTTGATACACCGCTTTGCCCGCGGGCTTTCCGGCATCAACCCGCTTGAACATCCAAGCCAAATCACGAAGTCTTCCAGGGTAATTGCAATGGCCTGCGACATGAAGAAGTAAATGAAGCCCATGGTGCATTCCGCCGCTGTGATATTGGAAGGCCGAGGCAGGTGGAGCTGACCCAGGGCATGAAAGGTACCTGATATCAAGAAGGCCAGGTAGAGCTTTGTGTACGACGAGAGGTTAGTACCACGGGGGATGCGCGACATATCACAAAACATGTCCGTAAACGACGTGAGAGTCTAACGTAAGGCAACGGTCAGCCTCGCCTCGCGAGTGGGGATGTAGGAACTGGGGCCGACTTACATGGCGGATGCTCTGGTGCCAAAAGCTTCCCCAGAACAATCTGACGGTCCGTGTGTCCTCAAAACTTCCAAAGGTTGAGGGCCAGTCCTGGAACAATCAGCAGGGATGAAGCCAAATCAGCGGGGAGCTTCTGACCTGTGGTTTATTCAGCCCAAGCAGTACGGTCACGAACGAGAGCTGTGCCGACTGCATGCTGATCATGCAAAACGGCAAGGCTCCCAGGACAAAGGCCCTAGCTAGGCGCCAATGCAGCACTGGGTGCCGTAGAGTCATGTATTTACTATCAATGGAGCTCACCGTGCCATCCAATGAAGTGAAATTCATCCTCCGGTGCAACTCGTACAAGAGATCTCCGACAGAGAGAAAGACAACGAATCTGACTAGCTGTTCGACTAGAAACCGAGATCTGCCTGTGCGAGGCGGCTTCGGCACGTTTTTGACTTGATGATTCCACCCAATGCCTCGGAGGTTAACCAGCAGAGCAAAAGCCCAGCGGATTTTACTCCAACCGAACGCAGCATACGCCCGTGCCTCCTTTGCGGGGTTCCCTATCCTCCAGAACCGGTCCTCCGGGCCTGAGGAGCTTCCGCGGAGCAGCGTTGCTAGGGTTGACAGGTAAAAGGACCAGGCGATGGAGAAAGGCTGCGCCAAGCCCATGTCATTCGTGAAATGAGGATGAAGATTACAATAGATAGCTAGAGAGATGATGAGTGTGGCAAAGACGCCTCGCCGCCCAGGGAACGGCGGCGAGATGAGCGCTGCTACCTGGCACGCCCAAAGGAAGATGTGGGGGGCAATTGACGAGTCTGGCTCCTTGAGAGCCGTGTTTGCGGTAATGATTTCCATCATGTTGATGTTGGCGTAGCAGGTGGGTGGGCGCCTAGCAAGACACTCGTAACGCCTGTAGCAGATTCGGAGTCTTTATTAGGCCAGGTGGTGAGCCCCGGGACTGATCAGATGCCCTTGCGGGCCCCTATCTGCCCTCCGTACCTAGCGCCTGTAGTGCCACTTTCTCGCCATTTCGGCACCCGGATACCACCTCTGAAGCCCCCGCCCAGCGCCTTCGGTCCGCTAATCCTTTCCTTTTCGTTTTCTTATGTGTACAAAGGTCAAAATCGCAAATCATGTACAGCAACGACTTCCCAGGGGCCTAGATACGCATCCTCGTCTCGCCTGGTGTGATCTTGTCACATATCATCTCACCATTGATCCCATTCATACAATGGCGTATTATGAGCTGATCACTAGTCTGGCTGCCGTTTTCCTGCTAGTCTTTCTCATCTCTCACAGGCCAGAATTCCCGGAATATTCAACATTCAAAAGATTTGGCGCAGGATTTTTTGGTACGAAACCTGTGCACGTAGTTGTCCAGAATGCGTACGACAAGGTATGAGCCATGCATGCCGTGCCCAACAGGAAATGGTGACTTAAACAGCCGGTGTGTTCTAGCTGGGAGGCGTGGAACCGTTTGTGGTGCGGTGGTGGGCGAGAGACATTGTGATCATGCCGCGCAGATACTTGAAGGACCTGAAGAGTGCCGACAGAAGCCATATTAGCTTCTTTACCAGCATTAGTAGAGTGAGCATTACCCGCCGTTTCCTCATGATCTTGGTTGCGCTTTGTTGAGGGCATCACTGATACGCGCAGGCATTTTACCTACATACAACAGTTGGCGATCTCTACACTGCCGACTCGTCGCATCGCATGGTGGATGTTGTCAAGAAGGGATTGAATCGGAGACTTCGTGAGCTAGCCTATCCTCTTGCTGGTTTGCACTTGACCTGAACGCCGTGGTAGCACATTTGACCCCAGTGCTTGTCGAGGAGATTGACTACTCATTTCACAAGATCCTAGGTGAATCTACAGGTAACTTTACTGGACATCAATTTCTATCTGACGACCAGGAGCTCAATCCGGCTGCAGAGTGGGTAGAAGTCAAGGCTGCTGGGCTCTTTGCTGAAGTCGTCCACCGTGCGGCTACTCGGATACTCGTCTCAAAGGAGCTATCTCGAAATGAAAGGTTTATCAAGAGGTCTTTAAGCTATACCAAGTCCCTCTTCGTGACCGCTCTTATCATTACCAACCTACCGCTGGGTCCCCTGCGTGGCATATTGGCCTGGCCGTTAAGTTGTGTTCGCCAGTGGTTACTTCGCGAATGTAAGGCAATCTCTAGACAATCTGTCATCAATAGGGTCGAGGAAAGTCATAAGCCTGGCCGCCGTGAGGATTACGAGGATGCAATCCAGTGGACTTTGGACCTATTCCCGCAAACTGGCATTGAGGTTTCAATAGAGCGGTTCCAGGCGGAGCTGCTCCAGAACCTGTGGGCAGCGAGCGGAGCACCTGGGGGCGTGCTCACCGAGGTCATCTTCCAACTACTGTTGCATCCTGAAGAACTGGAGATCGTGCGTGACGAGTGTATACAAAACTACAGGGAGAATGGTTGGTCCGAAAGGATGCTAGACAGTCTTGGTCATCTGGATAGTTATATTCGGGAGACAAATCGAATGTTTCTCACAGGGTCGAGTAACACAGCACGGTCTCTCTCTCCGAACTTGCTCTGACTGACATCACGGCATAGTAAGCGTCGTACGAACTGTTCGCGACAAGCCTTTCCAGTTTTCGGATGGCTTGATATTGCCCGTGGGCTCATGGTTCGGCTTCCCTATACAAGCATTCCATCAAGAGGAGCAGAACGGGGCGACCGACCGCTCAACCTTTATCGGATTCCGTTTTGTCACCGAGGACGTAGATCATTCTATAATTAAGGAGAAAACCGATAAGATGGGGCCGACTATGGTTGATACAAATAACCTTGTGTTAGTACCCCAGGTGTTACACACTACTGGAGCCTTTGACTGACGATCTTCCAGCTTTGGATATGGAAATCATGCCTGCCCCGGTCGCTTCATTGCCGTGAAATTGATCAAGCTTGTAATAACAACGCTTTTAATAGGCTACGAGATAAAGTGGGAGAATAAGACACATAAAAGACCCACTCCTATCAATGTCGAAGGCCAATTTGCTCCCAACATGGAGCAGTCCATCTTCATCAGGAAGCGTAATGAGACAGCTTGAAACATGCCACTATCCTCTATAGACCTAGCAGTCTCTATGCGATACACATAAATCAATTCGGGTCACATATTTATCGATTTTGTACGTGCGTAATTACTAGTATTCTGGACTTTTTTGAGCTGCTCCAGTAGTGAGAAAATTTGTTTGTATGTGTTTCTCCCTCGTGCTCGAGCTGCGCCATTCAGATTGTGAATACATGGGGATTATCATGCATGCGATGATCACGGCAACGTTCGCAGAAACATACGGGTATCACGGACCCCGAGACGATGGGGGGAAACTAAACAATGGGCCAATAAAAGCGAATTTGTAATAAACCTATAACTCACTAAGCCTAATCGCGCACACTCGCCTATTCGGCAACCGGGAGACTCGAAGAATATGAGAGATCTGGGGCGCAATTCCGTCTTCAGCAAATGATATTAAGGCGGTTACACATGACTATTCAGATCTCCAAGCCTCCCGCAGAGTTTGTTGGGGGTGTTTAATGTTATTTGAAAAAAAAAAATCTATTTAAACATGTCTCCAGATACATACCCCAAGTCGAGTGTTGATGCGATACCTGATATCGCGCGAATACTTGACAATGTTAACGACTGTCTGACCAAATGTCTGGAAGACTTGCATTCACTAGACACACGCCTTCATGATGCCTTACATGATGGGGATGTTCTCCCAGACCGCATCGTTCTGAGAGAGGCTGCGAAGGCGGTTGATCTTTTGCATCAAATTCAAGTGATGCTTGACCCTAAAACCTTGGTACTTGCGGACCATTTTCTTGGTAATATACAGCTCTCAGTTCCGAAGAATTGCACGCGAATTCGCTGACACATCCTTAGGATATGTGCGATCAAAGTGCCTCCTGGCAGCAGTGCAGCAGCAGGTGCCCGACGTCCTACACCAGAGCGGTCCAATTACGCTGGAGCAGCTGGCCGAGCGGACAGGCTCGCGCAGCGACCGGCTGGCGCAAGTGCTGCGCATACTCTGTAACGAAGGCATCTTCCGGCATGACGATGACCAGGATGAGGGCGGCGGCACCTATTCCAACAGCGCAGCGTCGCGGCTGCTATGCGCAGACCACCCAAGTCAGTGGCACAACTGGGTACGGCTTTATGGGAACCAATTTTACGACATGGCGCGCGGCATCCCGGGCGCGGTGCAGCGCGCCGCGACGCGCTCGGCCGCCCAGATCAACTACGATACGGACGACACCATGTTTACCTACTTCCAGCACCGCGGCTGGGTGCCGGAGCTGCACCGTACCTTCGGGAGCGGTGCCCTGGCGCAAATGCCAGGCCTAGTGGCTGACTACCCCTGGGACGAGGTCGCCGGCGGCGGCAGCAATCTCGTCATGGACATTGGCGGTGGTGGCGGCGGCTTTCTGGCCGGGCTGCTGAGAAATTACCCGACAATGCGGGGTGGCATCTTTGATCTCCCGCACGTCATTGAGCACGCCCGCCCGTTTTTTCGCCCGGGTGGTCAGTATGCTGATGTTGCCGACCGCGTCTCGGATCAAGATCTCGTTGGCGGGGATTTCTTCAAGTCCGTCCCGGAATGTGAAGTGTACACGATCAAGTGGTGCCTCCATGATTGGAAAGACTCGCAAGTGATTGAGATACTCAAGACAATTCACAGGAGCATCATTCCAAGCTCGAGAAGTAGGCTGGTGGTACTAGAGTCCATCTTGGAGGACACTCATTCGTCGCGTCTAAGTCAGTATGGAGACCTCAACATGATGATGACCATCGGGGGTCAGGAGCGAACGGTAAAGGAATGGACGACCCTGGCCGGGATTGCGGGGTGGAGGATTGAGCGCATTTGGGATCTGAGAAGAGCATGGGTCAAGGCAATGGACTTCCGACCCATATCACAAGATGGAGCATAACTGGTGCAGCTAGTAAAGGGGCCGGTTCAATAAATTACGAAGTGAATGTCGAGGTGCGGCTGCTGTACTCATGTGCATAGATCAAGTTGTTTTGCTGCACCCTTTACATCCAGTAGTAGACTATCATGGTAAATCAGATACGTTCCCCTTTACGTACGTCTGCGTGAGCAGTCTGCAGGCCGTCTGAAAAGATAACCATTTGGCGGTTCGGTAGCCGATGGTCTGGCAGAGTTCCTGGCACTGACGTCGGCCCGCGATCTCAGTACAAAACCAGTCGCAGGCCATCGACCTCGGTTGGAAATAGTTATACCGAATTAACGTTGCGTCACGTTAGCATGGGAAAAAGAGCAGCATGGGACATAAAGTGATACAGGGTGACCTGGCCTACGATGGCCGGGTCATCATTTACATTCTTCAAGGTTTGTTGTTCATGGGACAAACCATCTCGACGATATTACTGAATCATACGCAGCGGATCAGACGAACTACATCAATTACATCAAGCCCCTTATACTGGCCGAGGAACTTCAACTGCGCCATGTCCTCTCGGTAATCGACACCAGGTCGACCTGGTATTACCAGGTACACCCTGAGCGATACGTGCCAGCAATAAAGGACTGGTGTCCAGAAACGAAAAAGGAACTCATCGTTTTCGAGAGTACTGCATGCCTGCAATACATTGCTGAGTGTTACGACAAAGACGGGTACTGGGCAGGCAGGAATTCATCGGAGAAAGCCGCCGTCCTCTCCTGGACGGCGTATCAGACAGCTGGTCTCGGGTATGTAGCCATGGAAATGGCATTTTGAGTTGATTGATTGGGGCTTCTCTAATCAGTGGTCTGCAAACAGCCCGACCGCGAAATACTGGTTGTACTTTGCACGTGGATATCCAAATCGGCAGAATCCCGAGTCACTGCCAAAGACAGTCGCAAAGTAGGCCGCCATCACTCGTTAGTTTGGGCTAAAACCCCTCCCAGATGCTGACAAGACCTAGGCTGCATCAAAACTGCGTTGCGCAGTGGGATATCCTCGAGCGACGCCTTGAGATTGACGGCCAGCAATACGTAGCCCTGCCAGATAGGCCCACGATTGCAGACCTATCGTACTTTCCCTTTGCGATGCCATGGATGTTTTCCTTTCTCGATGTGGATCTGGAACAATATCCCAAGATCAAGGCCTGGGGGGAGAAAATGCTGGCCAGACCGGCTGTGCAGTCAGTGCTAGCACAGGCGCCCAAGTATGGCCATGACACCGATGAAGCGGGGGCAACGTAGTCTCCAATACCAAGAGCCGGTTCGTCCGGAATCCCGGAGGTGGCACGATCCTTGAAGCACCGGGGCCCGGGAAAAGATAGCGAAGAGAGAGAGAGAGAGAGAGAGAGAGACCGAGCAAGGGTAAGCCGGCTGGCGTATATTCTACCCGGGGAGGCAATCAACTTAACCGGCTCGTGATTGAGTTGAATCGATTTGATAGACTCCCTGATCTTGCCAACTAAATTAAGTCACCAAACGGCCCCATCACCTCTATTGCTGGCGGCGTACGAGGTTTTGTGCCGATCATAGAACCGAGTGAATATATATGCTGCATTTTCCCGTGAAATTATGATGACATGGATTTGCCCTGTTCAATCAAAACTTTAGCCTCGAGGTTAATAACATCCTCATGGACCACTAATACAGAACAATACGCGAGGGCCGACGGTATCTAGGCAGCTCCTGGTTCCTTTGTCGCACATATGTGACGCGGTAACCGCGTTTCGCGCTCAACTGTTACCAGCGGAGTAATCTTGAGTCGACAATTCCCGCGGCAAAGGATGCCGTGGCTTTACCTCCGAAGAGGCCAGGGGTGTGGTGTGTGGATTCGGGTGTGATATAAAAGTATAGCCTGCATGGCCCGGGCTGAGCTCTTCCTTTCCGTTCACTGTACACAATTAATGAGGTATCAATACTCAGTCATATGTATTTGACCTTGGTTGTGACTGAGATAACACCCTAACGCCGAGCATTACTCATCAACCACAATTCGACCAAATCGAGGGCCGTGTTCTACGACCCTACCGCGGCAAAATTTAGAAATGTTTCTCACGTTTCTCAAATCCATCATCTTGAGTATTTGTCTTGCTTGGGTGTACCGATTTGGACTGTATTTCTCTGTGTTGCAAACAGTGAACAGCCCGCTGTCTTGGATGATCCATGTATGAATCCGATTGCACTTCCTGAACCAAAGTAATGCGCCTAATTTCTATAAGAAATACTTACTGTTCAGGTACCCCATTCTATCCCACAATAAAGCCAGCACCCAGACGATTCCCACGTGCCCGTATCAATTCCCCAATGGACAGGGTGATGTTGCCAAGTTTTTGGAAGGAGAGAAGAACAGTGAGGCCTGGGCCAAGGAGCACGGGAAGGTCTACAGGATATGGAGTGGCATGACCTCTGAAATGCGAGTGAGCCCTAGGCGACAAAACTTCCACCGCGTGCTAATAGCCTAGCAGAGTACTAACGGACCCGGACGATGTCAGGACCGTGTTTAAAGACTCAGACGCGCATATCAAAGGTGTAAACAATGACGCCGGGTGGCTCATGGGTAAGTTGCTTGGAAAATGCATGGGTCTAGTAAACGGACCGGAGTGGAGACAGACCCGACTCTGCATTGCAGAGGCATTCGCGCAACGAAGCATAGCCGGTGCAATAGGCCGGGTCACAGAAATCACGCGAGAGTACATGGCGGAGCTAGAAGCAAATGGAAGGCTTGCGCAGCAAATGCTCAATCCGGGCAGGGATCTCAGGCTGCTGCCATTCTGGATCATGGCAGACTATCTGTATGGCAGACTTTCGCCAGAACAACACTCGCAACTGGAAGCGTTGGTGCCGTTGCGAGATTCATTGTTTCAGCGCGTGATCCAAGGGGGCGCAACACGATTTTCCTGGAGCCAATATCTTCCCTCTACAGCAAACCGCGATTTGAATGACTTCAAGGCCAGATGGAAGCAATTTAATGACGTGGCCTACACAGCCTGTAAGGAGCAAGGCCACGCCCCACCCATCGTTCGTATGTTGGAGGCATACCGGGACGGCTCTATTACGATGGATAACATGCTGCAAACGATGGACGAGATGCTATTCGGAAACCTTGACGTTACAGCGGGCGGTTTAACGTGGAACCCCCTGTTCATGGCCGCGTATCCGGGAGTACAGGCTCAGCTGCGGCAGGAGTTGCGAAGGGAGCTAGGAGACGGCAGGAAGGCATGGGAGGCGTATCTGCTGCGATCTGACACTTTGCTGGCGGCTTCCATCCTGGAGGCGGCACGCCTGAAGCCCATCGCAGCCTTTTCTATCCCCCAGGCTGCTCCTAGCGATCGTGTAGTTGGGGGCTACTTGGTCCCAGGCAGAACGAACTATGTGATTGACACGTACGCGCTAAACGTCCGGAATCCGTATTGGGGCAAGGACAGCGCAGAGTACCGGCCGTCTCGATTCCTGGAGCGCAAAGCGGCCGACACGCGGTACCACTACTGGCGGTTTGGGTTTGGGCCGAGGCAGTGCCTAGGGAAATATCTTGCAGATATCATGATCCGTGTTATCGTGGCACGGCTGGTGGGAGGCTACCAATTGAACCTCACCCCGACGAGCAGCTGGGACAAGAACCCGAGCGTCTGGATTGCACATCCGGACACTGAAATTCTCTGCGAGAAGATTATGGAATGATGCGGGCAGGGGAAGGCGTCTCCAAGACAGCGGACCAAGGCGGCCGGCCTTTTCTGCGGCAAGCTACCATATATATACAGCCACTCCGCAAAAATAACGCCAATCGATCAAATCACACCAAAATCACACCAAAATCACACACTTTCTAAAAGCCATAACGCCACGACCAAATTTATCAAAAAATATATATTATTCGCGGGTTACGTATATACGCAAATCCGAATATTTTTTTTTAATTTTTAAAATATTAAAGATTTATAAAGTTTTTAATTATAAATAAATTATATTACACTTTAGAAAATAAAGCGCTATTATTTTAATGGGTTATAGCGGTTTAAAATCTCGGTTTTAAAGGGGGTCCATTAAAGTTATAATGGGAAATCTTTAAAATCCTTGAAAATTATAAATTTCTAATATTTCAAATTAATAATATTCCACGAATCCTATATAAAAAAAAGGGAATTATATATTTAGCTATATATAATCCATAAAAATAAATATATTTTTATTTTTGTTATAATTTTATCAAGAAATAAGCTGTTGAAAATGGATAATTTAGTGCATTTTTATATGAGAAATCCACTGTACCTATCTATTAGGTACCTTGTAGGCAAGCTGGCCGCATCCACTGTGCGGACCGTCACAGTATATACCTGCCTATAAAGCGGCGTTTGTTGGTGGTTGCCTGGCTCGCCTGGTGCTGTAAGGATTATTTTGAGCCGATGATGCCCTTGGGGGTAGCCCTGTGCGGGCAGCTGCAGTGCATCAGATGGCTAGCGCCCTCATGGCGGGGCAGCAGCTCGCGGTTTCCACCAGGCTGAAATGTACCTAACCTAGGATGTTGGTAGTCTCCCAGGTATAACAAACACCAATTAAGCTACAAACAAACGAGCAAACAAATCTATGTGCATCAGCAGTCAGGCTCGAATCTCTGTCCGCTACATCCAGTACAGCACGCAGGCTCGAGCCCGGCCAAATCCAATACTCAAAGGCAGGTCTCATTTACGGCGTACCTTACCTAGGTAGGTAAGGTAGCTATGAAAACGTGATTCGGGGCCCGACATTGTGTTACTCTACCCAAGCAGCTATGCAGCCTACCTACAGTCACTGCCGCATCGAGCAGGCTACATCACATACCCTTGCCGGTACCTATAGTTTCTTGTCACTCATCACATTCACTGTGGCTGGCGCTTGAATCACTGCCCCGCCTTCATTCCAATATTGAAAGCTGTCACGTCGCTTGCTGGTCATATATGATTCCATGTCTGCCAACAACAAAGAATACAACAAACATCTTCCCCAGCGAATGCAACACACATCTTTGCCCTTATAAACAAGAAGCACCACAATGTCGTTCCAACCCAAGCAGCTCACCCAGTATCAGGCGGAGCATCTCTCTGAGCTCCAAGGCGATGTGAGTGAGACGGCTATTGAATATATCCTAGGCTTGACCCCGCCCTTCACCGAAGGCAACATCATCCACGACAATGCCTGCGGCTCTGGTGCCGTCCTCAGCACCATCCTGACCAAGGCACACCCCGCAAACCTCCATATTGAAGCGACCGACGTCAACCCCCAGTTCGTTGAGGGTTGTGCTGAGTTGGCCAAGAAAAACAACTGGCCGGTTACGGCCACGGTCCAATCCGCTCAAGAGATTACCTTTCCTGACAATCACTTCGACTATTCCTTCACCAATTTCGCTTTTCACTGCCTCGGCGACCATGATGCTGCTGCCCGTCAGGTGTACCGCACTCTCAAGCCCGGCGGCGTCGCCGTTGCGTCGATCTGGGTGTACATGCCTCATGTTGATGCTTTACAGCATGCACACTGGCGAACCCGTGGCAAGGAAGGCGCCATGCCTGTCCTGCTCCCGTTGGAAAGCTTCGTCCAGGAGGATCTCAAGAAGGCCCTTGTAGCCGGTGGATTCAAGGGAGAGGACATCGAGTTCTCTGAGGTGACCTGCTACCTGAAAATCAGCGACCTAAAGAGATTTGCCCAACTGTCTTGGAGCTACCTTGGCCCGCTGCCCACTGGGTGGTCCCAGAACGACGAGGAGAAGTGGGACAAGGCCACTGCGGACATCATCGAGCAGCTACAGAGTGGTGACGGCATCACGAAGAATGAGAAGGGGGAGACCGTGCTCAAGATGGTGGCTTGTATCGGTCTTGCCAAAAAATGAGCAGCCACTTGTCATGCAATCCAGCCTCGTCTGTCATCATCACTACCAATTTCATCTCAGAATGCCACTTTATGAGTTGGCGCGGGCAGCTGTGGCTTGTACATGACAGATGGACCTAGTGACATCACCAAATGAAGTAGACCTGCGATACATTATCAGACATTCGGCCTTGTTGGTCTCGTATTTATTCCTTCGATTGATTGTACGCCGCCTAGTGATTGTAGGACCCGGGTGAAGGCGATAGTGCCAAGATGCGTGGCTACTGGATAGTGGTGCGCCGCCTCACCGTAACATTCTCGTGAAGCCTTGAAACAGTGAAGGAGTAGAAAAAAAATACAAAGACCATATAGAACTAATCGTAGGGGGACGGGTTCAGGCTTGTCAGTACGACGTCTCCCATGTGTTAATGCAAACTTGCCCTTGATTCTTTCTAGCTAACGGCGTCGATAAAATGATCCAATAAATCAGTCTGTATCAACGGTCTTTAAAGTGATGATAATAAATCATCGCGTTTTTTCATTTATACTACTCCGGCTTCCGAGCCCACACTGCAATCATCTTGAAACTGGCACCGATTTCTTCTAGTTCTCGCTTCAGCTGATCCAGAAAGTCCGCTGGTAATTCCTGATCTATTCCCGAGTTTGGCTGGCCTGTAATAAGTTAGCAATTGATCATGTGTCGGCGGATGTATCGCCCAGCGTACCTCGTAGAAACGCCTGCATGCCCACTGAGGCTGATAGCAGGTGGGAGACACCCTTGGCCCCCAACGCTGGATCCTCGCAGGCTGCCCCGTACTTGATGACGAAAGTCTTGCTCTGTACAGTCACCAGGCCTGCCGTTTCCACGTGAGCCGGCAAGCCGTTTGCATATGTGTATCCGATGCCGATGGTGTCGAGAAACTTTGCCATCAGTCGCTCAAAATGCCTCGCAGCAGGTCCGTTGGGCGACTCTCCACCAAAATCGGCGTCGACTAGCTCGAGATAGCCTCCTGGCTTCACGAGCCGCGCCAAGCTCGTTATGCAGTCAGCCAGGGGGCTTGAGCCGACCCCCGCCAGGGTCAGGCGTTGGTGCACGTAGTCAAAAGTGCCCGTCCACTCCTGGGGCCAGGGCTGGGTAATCGATTGGACATGAAACCTGAACTCTGGAGGGGGGTCTTTGGGCAACCAGGCTTCGGTGATATCGGTGCCGACGTACGTATGTGGTGTGTCATTGGAGTCCCTGAGCTCCCGGAGCCACAGACCTGAGAGGATTTCAATGTTAATTACCACTTCTTTCTGTCGCTGGTGAGATCTGGCGCCAGAAGCATGTAAATTTCTGTTTCGGGTGACCTGCTTACCATCTGCTGTCCCTGAATCGAGTATACGAAGGTTTGGCCGAGAAAAGTCCACTGGAGCCAGAGCCAATGTGCCCAAATATTTTGTGATTATCTCGTGCTGATTTGCGAGTCGCTGAAGTTCACCCTCATTTTCTTCCATTACATAGACATCTTTGTCCTGGGAGGTTGCCATACTGCAGCACAAATGGTGGAGAGATATACCACCTCACTCACTGAGGACGAAATGAATTTCTTGGGGCGCGTTTCAGTCGAAGAAGGGCACTGCTCGACTCGAACAGTCGACTTCTACAGTATGTTCGTGTCGTGATGGAAGATTGAAGCACAAGGTGCGCAGACATACTGTCTTGCCCAGATATCGCATGCTACGCCAGTGTCCAGATCCAGGCCTCCGTGGACGGACGGCGGAGCCTCGCAACGGTTCCCGACGAGGGCATCCCAACACGACGGCTTACGTGACATCCCGCGAGCTAGAAACGCCCCTCACAAACTAAACTGAACTCTCGGCCCCGTGCATGTGAGTTGTTTTAAAATAATTATTTGTTCTATCAACGCAAGCACGTTTAGCAAAATGGATCTGGGCCCTCACGTACCCAGCCAGGCGTTTACCAAAGACGTCGACCTCTACGCCGAGGTCACGGCCAAGTCCACCCGAGACACTGCCAATGAATTCCTTAAGCTCCTTTCTCCCCTGGCGCCGGGGACCAAGATCCATGACAATGGGTGCGGAGCAGGCGAGGTGACAAGCGCCATCATGGCCGTGAACCCGCCCACAGACATCTCAATCGAGGCGACAGACGTAGACCCAACCTACCTGGAGCGACTGACGGTGGCGGCGGGCGCAAAACATTGGCCGGTGACGGCCTCGCGCATGGCGGCCGAGGACCTCACCTTTGCTGACGAGACATTTGACCTCTCGGTGGCCAACTTTGTCATCTTCATGACGCGCGAGGGCGGCGTGCCCGCCGTCTCTCAGATGCGGCGCACGCTACGGCCCGGCGGCAGCGCCATTTTCACCTCGTGGGCCCGGCTACCGCAGGTCGGGCCGGCGCAGGCCGCGCACGCAGCGACGCGGGGCCCGGATGGGCCACCGCTGCGCGAAATTCCTCCCGAGTGGTGGCGCGGCGAGCACCTACGCGGCGTCGCCATCAAGGCCGGCTTTGCCCAGGGGCAGACTGAGTTGCATACTGTGAATGTCCACCTGCACTACGACAGCGCCGAGCGGCTCGCGCGCCTCATCTGGAGCTGGCTGGGGCCCCCGCTGTCGGGCTGGCTCGAGTCGGATGAGGAGAACTGGGACAAGGCCATTGAGGTCATCCTGAAGAGCTTCGAGGAGAACGATGACTTCAAGCTAGGGCCGGACGGCGTCGAGGTGCAGCTGACTGCCAATGTGCTTATTGCTCGCAAGTAGTACAGGGAGAGCTACAGAGCATGTTTCTGCGCATTGTATACGAATGTCTGGTGTCAGTTGGCCTGCCAGGTCTAGATTCCAAAAATACACTACGCTGTTTTTTTTCCTGTCCAAAAATAACATAATACATGGTCCTTAGAGGATCGGGCGCAACTGGCACTGTGTTACTTCTCATTTACCCTGTTCTCGATTGGCAACTTTTAGTACCATGGTTGAACCTGCTGTTACAGAGTCGCAATGTTGCTGCCCAGCAAGATTTGCCGCCCCCCTTACATCGGCCGGGCCCCGCAGCTTCGTTAAATGTGGTATCTTTGGTTAACGCAAACCCTCTTGTTGATGTCTCGGGAGCCGAATCCACAAATTTCGGTAGCCGAAGTGGCTTGGCATAACAGCCCAGGAGTCATGCCTTCTTTATCTTGTCCCGCTTTTGAGATTGCCGGAGAGGGTGAGCCATAGAGTAAAACGGGATCGACTCTGATCTAAACACAGTACTGGTATATACATTGATTACAGACTGCCTGAATAATAGAGCAACTGTCACGTATAAACAGGTATACCGTATAACATACACATATGGTGAGAGACTAGTGAGGGCATTAGGTCCTACATTAAATGACTTTGGTAGTTATTTATAGTGGAAAGAAGATGATGTATAGTTGCAAATGCCGTTAAGAACTTTTACCTTTTCTTTTTTTTTTTTGCTGTTGTGGTCTGGTTTCAATGTATAGTAATGATGCAACGACCAACGTCACCATGCTTAGTAACGTTGAGGGATACTTCATTGACAGGTATATTGGGTCATCGTACACAATTAATGCATCCCAAGAGACTACACCCCTATCCCCATGTGAAGTATAAAAGTTGTACACTAGTAATCTCTACCCCTTGACGGTGTCCTAAGTTATGTCTCTTACAGCTCCAGCGTTAAAGTGAAATACAAGTTCATCTTGCCCTCACGTTCGTGATAGTGACCTCGGCATGCCATTTAATGATTGAGTGATAGGCTGCTGACCGACAAATAAACGCGGTGCGTCTCCCCAACATCTCTGTGGCCGTCCTATTGAAACGCACCTTACTATGTTTTACCTATATGCTAATCCTATAGAGTAGGAACAGGTGGTCAGTTTCTACAACAATGAAATCAATCCATCAGTTTGAACTTGGACCAGTCTGCCCAATTGAGGTGCGGCCTCAACTCCACAGCCCGTACTTTTGGACAAAGATCCTCTAAGACTCTCGGACCGTATGCTGATGTGGTCTTCCAATCCCTGAACTCCGGCAAGGGTAAATCTTGCCAACCATAGCCCGAAAGACTAGCTTCGAGTCTCAATTACGTAAGTTTACCCAGAGTGATGGTTTTAGCCTGTACGTTATTATACATTAGTGAACCTGATGCTCCAAGAAAAAAAACATGTATCCATCTCAAATGGCCCGTAACATGTTGTTGGTCGTCTTTATCCTCTGTGTCCACCTGATGATTTACAACTTACTCAGATGTGGCATGCGGATAGAGAGATGGCCCAAGAAGTTGAGCCACCAAAAGGTGGAGATCCAGATATTACGTAGTGCAGTCTTGCCGTATTCCATGGCGATGAGCGTTGAAGTTCTCCGGCCAATTTTTATGAGCAGTCGGTCACGGTTCATGGAAAGCAAAACCACGGTTATAGTGGTGTTATTTATCATTTCCCAGTTCTACTTTTGTCTCTTCCGGGTGCAGGTAATCTTGGCACGGGTAGACCAAAAGTCCAGGTGTGAGCAGTGCTGATTAGAACCAGAATACGGCCGGATATCCTGATTTCTTACAGGTTCAACCTGGATCTTCAGATGGCATACCCTATGAAATGTTTTCAGATAGTCGGATCTAAGGTAAATGGCGTCAAGTTGAGATTAACATCATACAACAAGGTTAATTATGGGCTTCATAACGTTCTCGCATCCAGGAATGGGTTTGGCGCGGCTAAGCATAGAAACATCATTTTGATCAACGTAAATGGTGTTGCTTGGCACCTAGACGATGCAAAATGTTGATGCCACGGAGACGCTCATTTCATTAGGCATATCAAAACAGGTCTCCATAGGAGGCATTCAAGTCGATATCTTCCCGAACTTAGACTGGCCTGCTCAGGTAAAGAAACAAAGTCTTGAAGACAATACTGGCGGCCACGGTGCCAAAGTGCCAGGGCCTTGTGGGCCGATGAGAATGCTTTCTCATTGGTCGCTCATGCTTCTTCATACATGTCTCTGCCTCGACGGGACGATGCATTCGCCTAATGGTCGCGGGCCGTGCCTAGATGATCGGCTTGGTTAATGTAATCATCTCCCGGCCATCCAGAAATCCTGGACCCTGGGGAAGTCCTTAACCCTGCCAGTATCGTGAGCCCGAAAGACACTGCATGCAGCCAGGGTGTGGCTGCGGATTGTTGGCTTGCGAGCCGCGGCATATGTGATACTTGGCTGCGTCTAATATGTGTCACAGCTAATGAACGACTCACCACCCTCTTCCATATGTAAAATTCAGATGCATCACGGGTGATGTTGGTCGTGGCGTCATGGCTCAGTAGTGTGGCCACCGCAATGAGCATGGGTCCGGAACGGTCTCATACGACGGCCATGATTGTGAACAAGTCTCCATCCTCCTCGATGAAATTTAATTATTGGTTTCTGGATGGCAACTTGACTAGATGCGCCGCTCAAAGCCGATATACTGGAGCAACACAACACTACTCGGGAGTGGTGCGGGTGCTGGCGCTAGGCAAGAGGCTGGTGGTATTGGTTGGGCAGTACTTGAATAGCCTTAGGGAAGGTACAAACAATATCATATATTCAGTTTCTTGGTCGAACAGCTTTTCCTGCACTGGTATTCTCGAGGATCTACAGAAGAGTTTGGCTACAGTACACACTGCGTAGTAGGTAAACAGTCACTTGGAAGTCCTGTCTAAGTGTTTTCACACCCGCCCTCGGCTACCGACCCCGGTTGTCGGTGCTCCACAGCTACTAGTCTATATTGTCCGCTTATTGGATCAATAGAAATCAGAGCTCCCAACATTAACGTGCTTGTCCTCACTCATCTGCATCACTTCAGTTGCAACTCTGCTAGCAATAACATTGTACTTATATCCAAGATGCCAGTTATTCAGACCCTACCACGACCCATCGCCGACACGTGGTACCTTGCGTACGGTTCAAATCTGAGCACTCAGAAGTTTATTGATGACCGGGGCATCACGCCGCTGTCCGCAGTTGCCGTGATCGTCCCAGGATGGACATTGACAATTGACAGCGCAGGGTTTCCGTATTCAGAACCCGCATTCGCGAGCATTTCCCCAATTCATCACACTGGGAACAAAAAGGCTGTCGAACTGATCGGCACAGCGTACAAACTTGACCCGGATATGTACCAAAAGGTCCTCAAGTCTGAGGGTGGAGGCATAGCGTATGCAGAAATTGAGGTCTGGGCTATCAATATGTCAGAGGAAGACCCGAATGGCATTGCAACTAGCAGCACCTTTGCAGTGAGATCTCTGGTAACTGTTCTGCCAAGGGAGGCTCGGCCAAGTGCACGATATATGGTACTACACATTCTCCAGAGTTTCTTTAGACTGTGCCCTCTGACATGAATAATGCAGGCTCTTCTTCGGATGGGGGCTGATGCAGCTAAGTTCCCTTTGGCATACCAGAAGTTCTTGGCAGGTATCACAGAATATCACCCCTCCGAAAAGCCGATGGCGAAACTTGGAGCATCTCTGTTCCTGGCCTTCTGGAGGCCGGTGATGTCGTTAATGGAAAGGATTACTAAGGCGAGTTTGAAAAATCGCAGCACGGGCTACGCACCAATTTGGGTCATTGTCATGGTTAGGATAGTAATGGTCAGCATGTGGTTTTATCACGATTTTGTCCATGCACCGATCTGGGGAAGGGGAGATGGTATGGGCAGTGCCCTGGTCTTGTGATCATCTACAGAATGGGATCAATCATAATCACGAGTGCTGTAATCGAGGGCGTTGGTCGGATCAAGTCAGACCATTTGATCATGTGCTAGACTGGTGTTCTGCTTGGCCGATGGCCACGTTTCTATTCCCGATTCAAAATATTCAGCTCATTGAGACTCGTTCTCATAGAATACCAGGCATCGGACCTCAACACTTTCCCTCAGCTTGGCATTGGTGGGTGCATGTGGATGTTGGAAAGCACCATGTGGGCATACTGGAGGTTTTTAGCAGGTCGCCATGCTGGCACATAACGTCCTACGGGGTCCGCCACAAGACTTACATTTAGCCGTACCGTCCTTGCTATCCCATATCTTTATAAAGGTCACTTCATGCGACTCCTGGTGGTCAAGGTAGTACCACCGCTGCTGGTCTGAATAGTTGATAGACACTGTCTGCCCCTGTCTATCAAATCGCTCCCGGAAGATGCTGGTGGGGTGGATTTCTGAGTCCTTGAAACTGCGGTAATCGGCGCATGCCAGAGGCCAGTCCTCCACAACTTCGAATGGACGCCAAACGCTGTAAAGTCAGAAATGGTGACCGCAAAATCTTGGCTCACAAGCCTTACTTAATTACTTGTACGCGTCCCTGTAGCAACCTTTCGGCATCCTCCTCAGCATGCCGATGAACTCTGCCAATTGCGCCGATAGCGGACCTGAAACCAATTAGCAGTGTGAGCGACACTATGACTTGGTTTGGTCAAGGCCTACTGGTCGACATGAGCCTGGAGAGTTTGTTAACATGCGTGTTTTGAGCCCGTTTGTTTGTTTGGCTATAACTGACCAATGTCGCCGGTTGCTCCCTGCCGTTGGGATTTTCTCCAGCAGCAAGGGCCGGATCTCGCTTACGATAGGTATGATCGAATATGATAACCTTGCTGGCACCAGTGGTCCGTTTGATTAGTGCCTCTACGCGTGGGTAATATTCTTTCTCAACCGCCAGTTTATTCCTTTCCCGGATCGATTGTATTATTTCGTCTCCGATCGGCTCATCCTCGAAGAAACCGAACCCATGAATGTCTAGCTTAAAGGCATCCTTGGTTGGTCTAGCATCATGAAACTGGACCGAAAAGTCCTGGTTCTTAAAGTTTGTAGCAGGAAATAAATCGTCCGACTTTCCGCGGATGTAAGGCGCATCCTCCTTCCCGTCCCAGGGCTCCAGGAAGGACATCTGGCTTTGGACGACAGCCATGGTGTGTAGAGTACGTGAGTCCAGTCAATGGTCATGTTCGGTTAGCACACCGGAGCTGAGCGCGGAATTTATCAAGTAAATGTGTTATATAATATGCATATAAGGCGTGGCCCGGCCGGCATCCGAACAAGGCGATTCCGTTAGTACTCTTTAGATTTGCGGCCCCCGTTGGTCTCAAAGCCGATCCGCTCTAATAACTGAGCAGCCTGTAATTTCACCATGCTAACGACTCCCGTTGTCCGGCATACTCTTTATTCGTCGCAGCTGCAGCTAGATACTGATTAAGGGTGATTATCTATCATAGCTACCTTTGTGTTGGACTAGTGAATCCTCCGCTCTCTCCGCGGTATTGTAGGTCAACCTGGACTGCTACCATCAATCATACGTCCGATTGCCCTGTAAGGAGAACAATCCATGGATTCAGCGGAAGAGACAGAGAGAGCCCCGCTTCTTGCGCCACCAGACAGGGCGGAGGCGGGCACGAGCATCTCCACAACGCCGATGCCAGATTCCCCTCCGAGCCCTTCCGACACCACACTACCCAGCCCGGGTGAAGCCAACGCCGCCGTTGGGGGCCAGCACGAAGAAGACACCATTGCCCGCTTTCTGCCCATTGCCTTTACGGCCTCGTTTGCCATCGCCGCGACCTCGGCGACAACCATCTACGCGTACGCCAGTATCACGTGCGCGGACCCGGCGCGCTGCCAGGACGAGGAGCAGGACCGATACGCAGGTGTGGTCGCACTGGCCACGACCGTGGCCAACTTCTTTGGTGTGCTGGCCGTCGGCTTCTTGCGGCCCTGGACCGAGTCTCACCCCAAGCTCGGTCTCTACTTTTGGATCCTATGCCGGGCCACGGGTATCGCCATTCTGGCAGTCGGCGGTGAGTGAGCAAATGCACTCCCCTTTCATCCCCCCTTGTCTTGTCAAGTAGCTGACGCGAATCTTGCCTTCCTTTTTGAAGTCCTGGTTCGCAATATAAACGTTGCAATTGCGGGCCGGGTCTTTGATGGACTTGCGACGGACAATATCTTGCACTACGCACTTGCCGCAGTGTACCTCCGTACCAAGATGCCAGGTCGGTTCTCGCAGCTCATGGGAACCTCGCTAGGCCTGTACATGGTCGGCATGTCCCTGAGCCCTACCATCGTAACTCTGCTTCCTAGCTTTATCGTGAGCTTCGTTGTCGCCATTGCCCTGCTCGGACTCTCGTTATTGTACCTCTGCTTCTTGGTTCCCCCATTAGCCCGAGGCCCTGAACGTGGCTGCCCCGCGCGGCCCGTCCAGCAAGAGACGCATCCGAACAGCACTCGGACCTCGTTTTTGGAGCCCGTATTCTATTTTCACCGAGAGCCCATCGTCGCCCTTCCAGGTTTAGCGGTACTCCTTTACAATAGTGCGCAGGCCTACCTCTTCCCGGTAATAATGGTGCACGCTGCGCTCAGGTACGGATTCACCAGCACCGAGAACGGGTATCTCATATCCCTGGCGGCAGCCACGTCATCCGTATATCTTCTTGTCACGTTGTATATTGTGCCGCGCGTGCGCAGCCGCTTCCGAATCGATAGGAGGGGAGCAGCCGGCGAAGCTGCTGCTCCCAGTAGCCGCAAGACCTACAGCGAAAACAGTCGATTGGGAAGAGGGCGATACTATTTCAACGCCGACCTTAGCTATGCTCTCCTGTCCATGTCTATCCAGCTCGCAGTTCTGCCTCTTTTCCCGATGGTACATAGCGCAGGGTCAATCTACGGCCTGGTGGTTCTGGTTGCCCTAGGGCTGGCTGCCCCAAGCTTCATCAAAAGCTACGCAGTTCTAGGTGCCACGGATAAGGGCTCGGCGGTAGCAGGAATGGCAGTCACTGAAAGTGCTGGCGGGTTGTTATCGCCCATTATACTGGGTGCCATCCAGAGTATGGATGGCCAGGGATCAGTTTTCTTTGTTGCATCATCGTTAGTTGGTGCAGCGATGCTGTGTCTGCTAGCAACTCTTTGTCTAGGTTCAATGTGACCTCATTTATTGTACTCCCTACTTTGCTACATTCTCAACTAGAATTGAGTTCTCTACATTCTAGACCACTACAAAACCGACCCAGAGCCTCATCCAAAACGCCGGGTGCAATGGCAAAGTTCATTCTCGCCCAGCCCTTGGCCGCCTCCGGCAAATGATAGCTTCGACCTGCGGACACTGTAACGCCGGCCTGTTTACATTTCTGGATGATTTTTGCCTCCTCTTCCGACGTCTGTGCATTGGGATCTATGCGGAAGAACACAAACGGGCCATGGTTGACCGGTATATATGGAAGGCCATGGCTCTTGAGAATGGCAGTAGTGCGCTGATACGCATCGGCGAGGCGTTGGGAATTCAGCTCTAGCAGCCGTGGGAGCTCGGGCGATTTTAGTAGGCTGGCGGTTGCAATAGCTGTGAGGCACGACATTTGTGTAGTTGACGTCAATGCCAGCCCCGTAGCTAGTGGGCGGTTTTTCTGGGTAACACAACAGCCCTGGCGCTAGTTTAGAGGATTTCCACATGAGCGAAGGGGTTCCTAGTAAACATACCATCCGCATACCGCTGGAGCCAAGATCTTTGCTAGTGCTCCATATCATATGAACACGTGATGGATCACACCCCAAAGCTTTGATGTCGAGTTCCAAGATTGACACGAAAGGCGTGGGGTCCTTTAATTCAGGATTCTGGAAGCTAGATAAGGCGTAAATCTCATCTGAAATGAGGTGGATCTTCCTCTGGTTGCAAAACCTGATGACATCCTTAATAACCTCCACCGGATAGCACTGGCCAATGGGATTGTTCGGGTTTGTGAATAGAAGAGCCTTTACCGGATGGGGGGAGGATGAGAAGGCGGCTTCTAGTGCTGGAATCACCTCCAACGTTAGGGCACCCTCAAGGTTGTTCAAAGTGACGAACACGGGTTGCACGCCTGACTTGACGCTCACCAGCCAGTCAAATCCACCTATCGAGAAACAGCGTGTTAGTCCTCCAGACACCACTTGTCGGCTAGGCTTGCTCTGGTGCTACATACTCCAGCACGGTGTAAGAATAAGAAGACCGTCTCCTGCCTCGCACGTGTTGTACAGCAGGGAATCGAGGCAGAATGTCGACCCTGGGGCAGTGGAAAGATGCTCCTGTGTCACCGGGATGCATGGGCGAAAGTACGAGTTGAAGAACCCCACGAGAGCCTCTAGAAGATCGGTATCCCCCGCCAACCCGTTCTGGTACGAGAGGTGCTTTTCTCTTGTTAGATCATGAACTAGAAAGCTGCCGGGCCCACGATACATACTCTATCACTTAAACCATCCTGTACGGCCTTCTTGTAGAAATCAATGAGCTCCTTTCGGATCAGCCAGTTCTCTGAGGTGGCTAGATCGATACACGGTTGCTCAGCATGCTCTCGCTCCGTGGCAGCCTTGCTGATGCGTGGCCAGACAGCGTCAACATTAGCAGCACCTCGTGCTGAAAGTCCGTAGCCCTGCATGATGGCTGGCGCTTTATCCGGCGGATGGGTGACCCTAGTTATGGCTATCTAGATACCAAGAGGATATATTTCGGGTCATCTATGCTTGCCATCTTCTTATAGTCCTTGTGTGAAAACCCATCTCGACGATGCCTGCGTTGCTGCAAGATGGTTGGTTTGCCGTGGATATGACCCGGCTACCGAGGACCTGCTGGTAATGCTACATGCCGTGGGAGTTCAATGGCGTGGGACGGGGGTATTGTGTATTGAAGCCTGGACTGATGCAGTATGGATGTCAATTGTGTAACGTATTAATCTATGTTGGCCGGTTGTTGGTTTTAACGAGGTGCAGGCTTATTCGGGTGGTCCCAGCTGTTCCCCGGGACCCCTGGTGAATGGGGACCTCTCATGCATTATCCATGATCTGACACGGCCGGGAGAGGGCTGCTGCTTGGATCATCTATCCTGACCTAGTACTATTATTCTTGGTATTCTTGGTCATTATGTACTCTGTACATCTCGTGAGTACAGACTGTGGTAGTCTGTACGGGACTTATGAAGGAGCAATCTCGCGCAGTGAATGTTTGCTGGCATCGTTTTGTACGTCAAGAGTCTGTATGTCTTCCATGGGGCCTATAATTTATACAGACCAGATTTTTTATATTGAATGGGAAATTCGTTTTCCTGTGTTTGAACGCAGAAGAAGATGCCGTCCAATTGTTCTGAGGGTGGCGTGCAGTAAGAAGCGATACAGGGTCCAGAGGGTCGAAAGAATCGACTTTGGGGGGAAACTACCTACTAGGTAGGTTAGTACACACCGACATGAGCGCACATGCAGCCGTCCGTCCCCCACCCCACCAGCCCCGCTCAGGCCGGTACAGGGATTACTCGGCTATGGGTACAAGTAACCCTTATGCCTAGCATAGTACGTAAGGTAGCCTTGATACCAAAGTCACTATACACACACATTTCAACAAATATATGTGCTATTGTACGTAGGAATACCCGCTGGACCTGTACACAGCACGATATAGGACGTTCGATTGGCACCCACAATTTGGGCTAAAGGGCTACTTTATACTAGCGACAATTATCTAATCGGCATACGTAGCCCCTAATTTTCGGAAAAAAAGAAAAAAAAAAAACCAAGGATTATTGTACAGGACACCGGGGCAATAGGGCCATCATATCCACGGGAACTAAGTGCGGGTGGCGTCCGGGCCATTTTCTGCCAAAGTGACAGGTATATGCACATTTCAGGCTAGCCTGGGCTGCAGGATTCAGCCATACGCATTTGGGCGAATACGAAGCATCACTGCATCATAATTCGGCAGGGTGACCGAGCAATGCCGAGAACAGTGGTACTGTTCGGGGTCGATCCATTGCAAACGAAAAACAGGATGGGCATTATGGCAATCTACCTCTAACCTAAGCCAAGATATGAGGGGGAAAAGTAGATTGAGGGAGCGTTAAAAAGAAGTCGAGTGAACCCTACCGATCTACAAAAGAGATGTCCTAAAGAGCTCTCTAATATGCCTGAGCAGGTGATCTGCAGTGGGTACTAACTAAGTACATAGGTTAGTGCAATACTGTCAAGCATCTTCCCATGTTCACACAAGACAATATATCAGCCGTATGAAAACACAACGCAGCAGCCCAGTAAGCCCAGTAAAGACCTTGCCCATCGAGAACAATGTGGCACAACATGAAGACGTTGGTGATTCGTACCCTCCTGGTCGCTTTCGACTTGTCACGTACGCTTCGGGAGCATTGCATGTTGGTGCTGGCAGCCACCTGCGCTTTCGGATACTCAGGAAAGGGCTAGGTCCAACACATAGATCCGCTGACATACATGCCCTATCAAGCTGGTCTAATCAGATATGTAAATCTTTACGTGTTTTGCCGAAATGGAGGGGTAAGGCATACGAAATGTGCTGTTTACTGCAAATTTAAGACTGGATGAAATGACCACATATATCCTTAGGCAATGCAGAAATAATTACCGACGGTATATGTATTCCCTGTAATATAGGGCGGATACTCTCGATCATTATCCCCTAACCTAGCATTTATGCCGACCGCGAAGGAACCGAAGCGCGGCAGGCAGATCAGGCAAGCGGCGGAGGAGCCGCATGTCAGGTCTCGGTCATCGACATAATACACGGAGAAGCAGCTGGGATCCCCCAGCCCCCAACCCCTAACCCAAAAAAAAAAAAAAAAAACAGGAATTACCTGGTAGCGGCGTCAAGGTCGGGTCCCTGAAAAGATCAAATCGGAGGTAACCCAACAGCTCAACGCAGTTCTAGACTTCTGTTACTACGAATCGGACTCATTAACCGCACAAGGGAATTCTGCATGCATCAAACCTGCACCAACATCCTTCCTGTGCGGATGTTGGGTTGGCTATGCTGCGCCGGCTATTACAAAGTAGCACCAAGGAGAATACCTTTACTCAGCGCTTCCTTTATCATCTACGGAGTATGCAACTCGTATTTCAGTAATTTGTAATTGCTCTCGCTCACGTCAGATTGCTGCCGTGGTTTTGCTATCGACGCAGCCTTACCAAGAGCTACGGAATGCGCCTTTGTGGATGTAACCTTGCTGGTCCCGCCAACAGCACATGCAGAATGGCTCGGGGCGTGATAGGTGCGAAGTACTCCACATCTGGTTGCCCCGCGAATCATAGCAACAATAAGGAGTGTGAGGCGGTTCTCCCAGTATGTAGGGACTTTTTCGACTTTCGTGGACATAATTGACGCGTAGGCAATATACAAAGCAAGTATGTACCTTTTCGGATGCATGAGCAACGCTGCTTAGTCCCACACCTCCCACGGCAAGGGAAAAGGTACTGTACATAGTGTGAAAAGATATGATAGGTATGGGTAATAGTTGATGTATTAGTTGAGTTGTTTACATCCAACAGAGGCTGGATGGTCAAAGATATATACATGTGTGGAGAAGCGCTCCACTTATTCCTACATTTTGACACATAGTTCAAGTCTCCTGCAAGAAAGGCGTCATCCTCGCCGCCCTGCTATACTACCGGGAGAGCAGCTTGTGTTTAACAGTCAGGTAGCTGCAGAATAGATAGGGGGTCGATGCATATATATTAATATAACTTAATGATCTATATAAAGGGCTATTTTTAAAAGGTTTTGTGGTATTCCTATTATATAAGGTTTTTATTAGCTATATAGCAGCTAATATTTCCCCGTAATGCTATAATTTAATATACCTTTTTAATATAAATTTAATTATGCTAAATTATTTTATTATAATATATTCCGGGGAAATAAAAAGCTTTTTCGGCATTAAAACCGTTTTTTTAAATGCTTTTAGTTCTTTTTTAATTAAGTAGCAAATAGGCCGTAATTCCCTTAAGCTCCGTAAAATAATTTAAAATATAAACGCCGCGCCTATTATTATTCCCGTTTTAGGCTTATACCTAAGCTATAAAATAAAATAATTAGCCAAAAAATAAAATAATTATTTAGCGCCGTAAAATAATTACCTAATAGCTAATAATTATAAATATAAATAACCCCTTAAATCCCGGATTTCCCGTTTTTTTTTTTCTTTTTTTTTATTAACTTTCCCGAATCGTAAATCTACCCTTTTATTATTATTTATTATTATAATATTACTCCTACGATGCCTTTATCGTCGATACCGTTAATTTTGTTAATTTCGGCTTCGCCGTTGGTTTTTTGTTATATTTATTTTTTATTTTTTTAGGTCCCCGCGAAATAAGCGCGATTTTGTAATATTGCTAATATATAATTTTTTTTAAATTTTTATTTAAATATTTTAGTATTTCTTTTTAATTATATTTCCGGTAAATTTCTATATAATAAATGCTTTATAAATAAATAGCTAATAAGTGTTTATAGCCTAATTTTTAACGCGTTTTCCCGTTACCGCTATAATGCCGGCCTTTTTTAATAACGGTAAAAATCCTTTTTATAAGTTTTTTTTTTTAAATAGGTTATTAGTGGTTTAAAGCTAATTCGCTATAGCTTAAAGGATTTTTTATTATTATTACTTTTATTATATAAAAAACTAAAAGCCTCCCGAAATTTGGCCTTATTATTACGATTTTAAAAGTAAATATTTTCGAATTATTTTCGATATATTAGCGGTATACCCGCGAATTATTAGCTAATCCGAATTTTAGCCGAAAACTCCGATAAATGCAAAAGTTATTAAATTTTTAAAAAGGCTTATATTTAAATTTATAATAACTGCGATTTTATTTCGAATTAGCTGCTAATTTTTTATAGCCTGCCCGTACCGCAAAAATTATTAAAGCCCGTTTTGCAAATATATATAAGCATTTTTTTAGCAAAATATTTATAAATTTTAAAATTTCCCGTATTTATAAGCTATTTATTAACTATTTACGATTTAAAAACGTATTCCGTAATACCTAAAATTAGCTAAAACGCGTTATATAATAAAAAAAAAATCGTAAAAGTTTTCCCGCTTATAAAATCGTTAAATTTAATAAATTAGATTATTAGGCGGCCGCTGTTATTTTGCTAATAATTTACGAAATTTAAGCTAATTATATTAGTTATTTCGCTTCGGAAATTCGCTTTTTTTATAAAGCTGTAAAGGCTTCGAATAAGCTTTACCGTTTTATTTTTAGTAATTTTGCCGGCTTTTTTAACAAATTTTAGGAATTTTATATTTCGTATTAAAAAATAATAAATAATTTTTTTCGATATAGCTTCGACCTTATTTCGAACCACTTATTAATTTTTTACTAAAATTAAAATGCTTTAGCCGTAGATTTTAATAAAAAAAATAATGGAAATAATGGTTTTCCTAAAGAAATTTAAACCTTTACCCTCGGTTTTAAACGTTAGGTAAAAAATGCTTTATTAATAAGTCGCCGCTGCGTCGCCGGGCTTTCGCGGTTCGTAAATATATATTTATTTAGTTTTTATTATTATATTATTAATATATATCGCGGGAGGTCTAGCCTTTAAAAAATATAAAATATTCCCGAAAATTTTTAA